CCCCCCAGAAAACTAGGAAGGGCCTCAGGGGCACTGGCTTACAGCCAGATACTACAAGCCTAGAAGGTCTTCCCCTCCGTGTTTATCCCAAGGAGAAAAAAAGCCACTGGCTCCAGACTGACAGCAATGGATGGCTACTAGGGGTTAGGTCTCTCAGGGCTGAGTTCTGGGAGTGAAAGGCTGGCGGTGAGGCACCTAGAGCATGGATGGCTTGCTTGCTCATGGGTGTTCTCTGGCCGGGTTATACAGGGATGTCTTCTGTAATTATTTAGACAGGAGCCCAAAACAACTTTGGTAGAGTTTTGTGCCTCTACGCCTAACAGGCACATCTGCCTCATCTGCTTTGCCCCACCCTCAAGCTCGGATGAATCTATTTTGTCCCGAGGAAAAGTAAAGTTTTGCTTTGGCTAAAATATTCACATATTCACCACTGAACATAGTTTTGTGTGTGTGTGTGTGTGTGTGTGTGTGTGTGTGTGTGAGAGAGAGAGAGAGAGAGAGAGAGAGAGAGAAATAGAGAGAGAGAGAGAGAGAGAGAGAGGATTCTTGTTTAAAGTTTTTTTTTTTTTTAATTCTATATGTATGTGTGTTTTGCCTTCATGTACGTATTTGTATTGTGACTGGTCCCCCGAGAGTTCAGAAGAGACTATTTGGAGCCCCTAGATCTGGAGTTCAGGGTGGTTTGAGCCACCTTGTTGGTGCTTAAAAGAGAACCCAGGCCCTCTAAACCCCTTGAGGCACAGCCCAGGCCTCTCCCATAAGGACCTCCAACCACGGGTTCCACCCACAGACAGGTTCCACCAGAGGACAGCCCCTGTACTACAGAGTAAAAAGCCCCAGCCTTGGACTTGAAACCCTACCAGTCCCCACCTTGGAAATGCTATATAAACCTCTGCTTGGTTCTCTGTGGCTTCTTTCCCCAGCAGAGGCAGCCGCCCTCCTGGCTTCTTCCTTTCCAATTTATCTCTTGTGTGAGGTTGGTTGTGCCTTGTGGCTTTGTGGTATTCCTCGGCTCCTGACTGCCAGGATACTGTCCCTTTCAGAACTGTAACACTTTGGGGAAATCTTCCCTGTGGGAGCAAACCTGTAACACTTATAGTGGGGAAACATTCCAGAATGGTAACACTTCCTGTGGTGAAGACTTTCCCCTCAGACCTGTAACACTTAGATTTGAGCTGTGACTCCAATAGGCTCTCCTGGTGGCTGTGCTTCTCCTTGGAAGGGGTGAAAGGGAAAAGTTAGTAAAAGTCTAAAACTCTGACTCCAAAGACCAAATAGAAAAACTCTTAAGCTTCTCTGAGTTTCCAAAAGGGAGCCCAAAAGACAAGGAGCCCAAGGTCCACAAGACTTAAGTAAGGCCTTAGACCAGATATCACACCCTTGAGCTATGTCGACATTCCTCTAGTCCAAAGATGATCAGATTGTTATCAATTGTAAAAAGTCACCAGCCCAGGAGATAATTAACAAACTCATCTCCTCTGCAGCATCCTGCTTAATTGCACGTGTGCTTCCCCTGTAACCGCAGAAGCTTTGTAATCTTGGGGCTTCCAGCCCTACAATTTTCCCTTATAAAAACACCCCTCAGTCGAAAGTGGGTACTCCATTTGTTCTCATTGAGTGGGTAACTGTTATGATAATGTTCAAGGGGAACCTTGGTGGATTCTATAACAGACAATGGTGACCAAGGCAGAGGAACAAACATGCCAGGCAGACTGAGCTTAAGTGAGAAGTTTTATTAAAAAGGGAAGGAAGGGGAAGGAAAGGGAACAGGTAAAGAGACACAGAGATACAGGGACAGAGAGAGGACAGAAGAGAAGAGGGAGACTGGAAAAGCCCTATATGCCCCAGAGGAACAGCAGGAAGGGGGAGGGGGAGTAAGAGGGTGGGATCCTAACAGTGGCAAGCTGGACTTAGCAGGAAGGAGCAAAAAGCAAAGGAGCAGGCCCTCAGAAGCTTGCACACACACTTCACTGGCTGGTGAGTCTCTCAGCTCTCTCTGCTATAACCAGAGCTCAAATATAACCTATCTCCAAGCCTTCTTTGTTCTCAGCTTACTAGACTCTGTTGTAAAGAGGCTCAGGTGTGTTGTAGTGTTAGACCCCCGGAAAACTCAGGTATCTGGGGTCCCAGGCCACGACCTTGGTCACCCCAATCACCAGGCAGAGGCCAGAGCTTGATGCAAACTGCACGAGGCTTTATTGTAATTTAACGAGCTAACCCCATGTTAGCTCGGGTCTTTCATCCACCCGCCATGGCAGATGGCTCACAAAAGACAGCTCCCAGGGGCTCCCAAGAGATCTTGTAGGGCAGCGTAAGGGGAGTGTCTAGGGGTATGCACAGGCTCACGATTGGTGTGCCTCCAGGCTTGGAGGGTTTGCCCTGTGTTGATTGGTCAACTGGTTGTTATGGCCCATAGGCCCTCCCAGGGTGGTTGCTATGCT